GGCAGCTGCGCCACTTACAGGCCTGGCATATGTACTACAGCGTTTCCAGCATTTCCAGCGGTCTAGTGTGAACGGACACATTAATGAATCGAATGCGTGTGAACGGAAGACTTTTTTGCGTTTGCGTATGCGTTTTACCGTATGCGTACTCGTGGGGCCGGGGTCTAAGCCAAACTATATCCGGTCACAGAGATCTGCTATTTTAAAGTAAAGTCAACACATATCGACCCTAAATATAGTCTATATTAAGAACGAGAAAAGTCTTAACATATATATCGTTTTTTGTAAATATATGACAAATGTGTGAGGGTGATGACGTCAGAGCATCGTCCTATGTGCCAGGGCTTAGCCCCGGACAGCCCCAGCCCAATTTAACCCCTGGGTATTTGTGAGGGAGCTCCTATATGGCATTGCCCCGCTGAAGCTCACAAAAGTTTAAAATATTTCATAGTTCAAAGTTTTGTCAATTGTTTTGTTTATTGGTCAAATACTGGTTTCTAATGGTTTCTGAGGAGTTTTACTGGAATGAAAGAGCACAGAGTACAGAAGCAACAAAGCAGCATACTGCATTAAACCTGACCTTCACAGAGAGGTTGAAGTTCATGTGGAGAGGAGGCTTCAGTAGTCTGTCTGCACTCTGTTTAGTTGTGGTATCTTACAATCAATATAGTAAATGTGAGGTAAAGTGTGTCGCCAATGTAACCGGTTAGAACTCAAAGTTGCGATGAGGTCTTAAAATGTATGGAAAGGGTCTTAAAAAAGGTCTTAAAAGGTATTAAATTTGGCCTCAGGATTCCTGCATATACCCTGTATATGCACCTGCAGTGTTTTTTAAGTTACTTTTTAAGATTTGAAGGGCAGCTTGAGCTCAGGCTGGGTATAATAAAGACAAAAAAAATAAAAAAATACTTGATCGGCTATTCAGAGGCAAATGGATAAAAGCCTTGTCACAAATACAGGCAAGGTAAGAAAAAAAAACAATGAATGGTGGTTGATGCTAAAAAAGAGAAAATACTGACCACTTTGCTGTTCTCAGTTTCTCCCGTTTCTAATAATTGGAAGGCTTAAAATATGAATGTGAAAAATCTGCTGAGCGTATTGAGAAAAAACATGCCTTACTGAATTGATCAAAACCACAGGTTAACTTAGAGGAGGTTAACTGGGAAGCGTCTCATACAGTACTGTTAAACTGATCGTCTAAAGTTGTTTTTGTTCAAATTGTGTGATTTCTTACATTTTAGGTCCCAAGTGAATCACAGCCTCTGCATAAAGAGCTTCTTTGTGAACTATTTACAGGTGAGTCATTTCTAACAAATATATTGTATCTTATTAAAATAAGCTTTGTGGCCAACATGAAACTTACATGTTTTGCTTAACAGGATAAACTGAACATATTAACACCACTTTTATGATTTTAGAAGCGTAAATGCAATCGCCTGAAGTAAAAAGCTAACATTGGGCCATAAACATCACGCTTACATTGCTGCGCACCACCATAAGCTAATGTTTGGCGTGATGGCGTTTAGTCGTCTGGTTTAGTGACTTATAGCAATCGCTGTTTTTACAACACATTAAAGCTTCGGACATTCACCAGTGGATTATTTACTGATGTATAACAACACGTGAAAATCTCTTTAGCTTGTGTTAACAGCAGATCTTATTTCAGACGTCTAACCAAAAACACGTTCAAAAAAACTGAGACAAGGGAGAAGTGGTCAAATGTCAACTCGCTTCCTGGTTTTAAGGACTCCTTCCTGCATCACTAAAGCTTCACTTACTACCTCTAACTCTAAGGCTACAGATCAGTCTACAAAGCTCCTCTGTTCCTGAATGATGTGCAGAACATAATTGTGGAATATCTTTTTTCACAGAAGCTCCGTCAGAGCCTGAAATATTCTTCTCCCTACAGGATGAGGCTATGCATAAAGAGGTAAGGTAGAACCCACTTTCTGGGGAAAATAACAAATTTTTGAAGCAGTTTGATCATATATGTATCATAATAAATCTGATTTGCTTTGAAAGTTGCTTTCATTCGGCTGTCTCTGCTATTTGTGATCGGTTCTGTTTTCAGAATAACTCGGATGAAGACGAGACTTCAACTCTTCATGAAGATGAGCTTTCTGGTTTGTTATCTTGATTATTGTAGTGAACATTCATTTCCTCTTCTTGCTTTTATTTTGGGTAACAGTTAATTGAAATGCATTGTAATTTAGGATATTTGTGTCTGTTTGCAGCTCTTTCCTCTGACGCTGAGCCACAAGCCTCCTCAGCTCCCTGTCCAGATTTGGTAACTAAGATCTTTCAACAATATTCTAAATGTAATCTTTAAAACTTCACATCACTAAGAAGCAAATGCTGTCTTTATTGTTTTTCAGATGAACCTGGTTGAGGAGGTGACCTGTCTTGTGGGAGGGATCCATCTGACAGAAGTCTGCACAGGTATCACAATTACTGAACAAAATGTGCCTGTCATTTAGATGATAATACATTTCTAAATCAATATTAAAATGGCAGAATAAGTGCACCATTTTTTTGTTTGTTGATTTCTAAAAGGACAAAAAAAGTTGAAAATGTCATCAGTAATGTAATACAAGTATCACAAAAGTAATGTAACTGATTACATTTGGATACCTTGATATCAAATGCAATGATAATAAAAACAAGTGAAAATAAATAACAAATATGTTTTATATTGGACAACTGATCATATCAACTTAAAAAAGATTATAACATGTGGCCTTTTATTAAGCCTAGTCTATAGACCAGGGGTCGGCAACCCCTGGCACGCGTGCCAGCATTGGCACGTGGCACACTAGGAATAGGTGGAATAAGTGTGCAAAAATATTTAAATTGTATTTTCGGATCCCGAACGAGACCGCCGCCAGAGCGCGTCTACCTGCAGAAGGAAGCCATGCACGCAACGCAGCCCCGCTCTCTTTAACTCCAGGTGACTTTCTGCCACTTTCCTCCGTGGTGCAGTGCTGATCGTTTCACCACAGAGGAAAGCACTAACAAATTGCAGTATCCATAAGGAGCTGTACAAATGCCGCAGTTTTTGCGTGGCTGTGTATTTAGTTGAAAGCCCAGTGGCGATCTGCTCATCTCTCATCGAAATAATGTGCTGCAAAGGGGCGGACTGGCCATCTGTGTGTTGAACTTTCCTGTCGGCTCCCAGACCGTAGTCGAGGAGGGCAGAAGCAACAAGCTTCAGGTTCAATAACCCACTTTAGCTTAAATGACTGGAGAGAGGCGAGCTCTTCTTGGGAGGCAGTTACATTTATTTAGCTGTTCTTCTGTTTCACAAAATACATCACAGACCTCTGTTTTTCTGCTGCCTCGTTTCACTTCCAGAAACATACACACGTTCCCTCACTGTCGCTCTACCAT